TCTTCCTGACCATCTGGCTTTTTAAGTCAAAGCACAGCTGTACCTTTGTCTCTGTGATAATGCGAAAGTATGGCGATACTGTCAGACTGATTGGATTAGCACCTATGCATTTGAATGACACTGTTATGCTGATGAGATCAAGGCTGGGAAAATGCCGGTGTCGGGCTGATTCCTGTACTTCATTTGCATGCTATGGGTTAGATTGTCTCCACCTCTACTGAATGTATCCCTCCCCCTTAAATGTATATAAACTACAATGTATCACTGCCTTAATTAGACTTGGATGACTGCAGCGACGCACAGCGAGTCCTCAATAAAGAGTGACTTCTGTATGAAAGATATCCCAACGTCTCCTGGTCTCTGCTTCGACGAGGAAAAAGTTTCCTACACTACTATGAACTTTTCTCTCCCGTATCCAGTGACATCCAACCAATATCATTTAACCATACTGGAAGGAAATCCTGTTACACTACAAACGCAAGATAAACCACCATTTGTTGATTTTAATTGGATAAAAGATGATTCCAATATTGTAGTCTGTAGTCTTAAATTGGTGACCATCCAATGACAATAATACATACAAAGATAAGTTTTAAACATTATCTCATTATAATGGGAAAAACATATCATTATGACATATCTCGTTATTTGGAGAAAATATAATTTTAACGACATGTCATTATTATGAGAAAATATGTTGTTTTAATGAGAAAAATGTTACGAGAAAATATATTGTTTAAACATTGACATAATCGCGTGGAATAATATATATACATAATTTATTTCTGTTTTATACTACGGGGCCGTTGAATGCTTGAATCTGATTGAAAGTGAAAGTGACGTGACATGTGGCCAAGTATGGTGACCCATACTCGGAATTAGTGCTCTGCATTTAACCCATCCTAAGTGCACACACACAGCAGTGAACACACACACCGTGAACACACACCCAGAGCAGTGGGCAGCCATTTATGCTGCGGCACCCGGGGAGCAGTTGGGGGTTTGGTGCCTTGCTCAAGGGCGCCTCAGTTGTGGTATTGAAGGTGGAAGAGAGCGCTGAACATTCACTCCCCCAACCTACAGTCCCTGCCGGTACGAGACTCGAACCCGCAACCTTTGGGTTATGAGTCCGACTCTCTAACCATTAGGCCACGACTACACCTGGGTATTGATCATATTCTGTGCATGCCCTTACAACAACCGTCACTCCAGCTACGTGTCTGCGGATGGGGAATAATGACTCATGAAGAGAGAATAGACGAGTGAGAGAGAGAAAAAAAACAAGGTAAACGACATGTTTACAACTTACCTTAAATCGCCTCGGTAAAAACGGATAAATTTTGTTTTTAATATCCTCCTCCTTTTTTTTTCTCTAACAGATGTCTGCTGTATGTACACTGCAGCTCCTCAAACACTGAACAAAATAAAACAAGTAAAAGCATTTTATTTTTCAAATTACTTTCTAAATTTAGAAATAATTTTCCTTCATTTGAGAGCGCAACGATGCTCTAAATGTGTTGGCATAGCAACGTGATACCTCCTGTTTCCTTTTCCGCCTGTCCTACCAAGGCTGTCTCGTTTAATTCTAGGTTGAGGACACTTCGTATATGCATCCTACAGAGGATGCGACCTCCAGAGGATTCGACCTCCGGAGGGCGCAGCCTTCTAAATGAGACACAGCGCCATTTCTCACTAGCGAGGTAATAACAGCGCTGTTTAGAAACGCTGCTGCAGAACACTGTTGGACGCACAGAGGTAGCCTAATTCACACAAGCTCTCTCTCTCTTTCTCTTTCCCTGTGTGTCTCTCTCTCGCTCTCTTTCTAATAACTTCATTAATAACTGCATTAGAATGCTATCAACGGCTCAAGCCTCCATTACCAGCTTTAAAATGACGTTTTGGAACTAGCAAAAGAGGCGTTGGATGAGATGCGGAAGAAATAATCCTACTCACAATAGCGATTTAAGTACAAAAACCGGAGGAATCCCTTTAAATATATCATCTGATCGATGTCTTGAGTTGTGGTAACCGTAGTATAAGCGGAATAATTGACTCCGCTTCGTGTCGTGGCCGCATCACCACCTCGGGTGTGCATTATTTTTCTAATAATTCAACGGCCCGTCGTCAATTATTCCTTACAAAGTCAGTATTTATAACAAAACTGTGCATACAAATTAAGTATCACAAAAATGTTTATTATTTGTTTTCGTTAACTATAATAAACCTGTTCCGCGAATGTTCTATAGGTGCAGTATGAAATAGAGTTGCCAGCTAACATACCTGTTGTCATGCTTCGCCTACTGTGGCAGAGATGAGGAGACGGAGCTCGGAGACGAAGAGGATTAACATTCAAAAGGTCTTTATTCTTACAAATACTGGAGCACACACGGAACAGGCAGGAACTCACACGTAGGACGAGGGGTAGACGTACAATTCCAGACAAAGATAGACTGCACAGAATCGAACTAAATACATGGGGTAATTAGGGAAACACACCTGGGTTCAAATGAACAATCAATCAGGACAGGAACAGGAAGGAAACCAAACATGAGGCCAAACAAAAAGGATGTTTGCATGCAGAAAATAGTTTTTCCATTATATTTATTTTTCTTGCGTAGAGTGGTGAGAGCCTTAACCTCAGTCAATCAGGCAGATCAAAGGGAAGAAGTAAGATGGTGAATGTCCAAATAAGGAGATGCTAACAAAAGCTCACATCTCAAGATTAAGACTAGTTTCTCAAAAGATTATGGGAACACAACACAGACTAAAGAGCCTAAATAAGACCCAAACTATTAAAGTAGCCAAATATACTGTAACTACAGAATGTACTGTGCACCCCTACTTCTCAGAACAACCTTACAGGATCTAACAAAGAAGTTTTTAAGCGCCCCTCTCAACAGCAGCAGCTTCTGACAGTAAGTGCTTTAGATGTCCTCATTTATGTAGGAAGACAGGCCTATGTGGGCTTCAGGCAATCAGTTATCTGATCTCACACCCACATCTTTCTCTCTGTCTGTAAGCTAAACAGGCCAACATGAAAGGCAAAGATGAAGACACACACACACACACAAAAACTTACTGCCACAAAAACTAGTTTAAAAAACACCAACTCAGACTCTTCTCAGTCTGCTTTTTGAGACAATTTTGCATGTGTAACAAATGGATTCTCTTTACCAAGTTAAATTCCTTAAATGGTAACCTAAAGTGTATCCAGTAAATCACACTTTTTGATGCATGTGAAACAGACATGTGGCATTAAAGTTGAATTAGCTGATCTAATATACTAAAGTTTTTTTTTTTATTGTTGTATGGAGAATGACTATATTTCCCCGTTGACTTTGTGCTAAACATATGTTGTCTGTTAAAGATGACCTGAAATGTACATCAACTAAATGAGATTGAGATTTTATAGCAGTCTGATGACAAGCTGATAGGTTGACAAGAACAAAAACCTTCTTGGGTAAGCTCAAACTGCTAAGGGCTTACCCATCATCCTTTGCTCTGAGATCTCTTCTCAGGTGGGTTTGTGTGAACTCACAGACTGCGGAGTAGCAGGAAGAAGGGTTTCTTGTTTGAGTCCTAACTGACTGAGCACCGGAAAATGTGGTTCTTTTTTCATGTTAATGTTTCCACCACAGACTGAACTGAGCCAAAATGATGTCATGTGACATCTCACCGTTTCCAAGCAACTTAGCAGTTTCCGGATTTTAGCCTGTTGAAACTTCTGTTTTCTATATGTATACTGATGCTATTATCAGAATGTGCTGCAGAGTGTAAAAAAAAGTGTCAGAAAGTGTTTTTCCTGAATTCATGCTTTATTGCAGATCCTGTGAGAATAGAATGATGTGAAGTTGTTAAAAATTATTATATCATATGGACACGGCACATGCAAACACACACATACGCTCTTATGATCCAGCATATTATAATGAGATGGAGGTATGTTTGTTGAATAAGACAAAATGTGTTTCTACACTTAACTGAACTTTTATGTTCATTATGTTCAAATTGTTTTATTTCATTTCTAAATAACATTTTAGTACTAAATTATTCAACCTGAGGTTGCGCAATAACTTGGTTTTCGTCTTGTGTGTCACGCTGAACTTCCGTTTTTAATAGGTAGTCAACGCAGCGGCAGTCATTTTGAGCTCTGTTCCTTTCTCTTTTTAAAAAAAAAAAATCTATAAATTGTGAGAATGCCAGTAAATCACCTACTCGTATCACTTATTTTTCTACTTACCTTCAAAACAGGTAAAACACATGTTCATTATGTTGATGTTGATTGATTATTAATGATTATTGTGACAGTAATGACTGCGCAGGTTATGGCATCACTGAGCATTTACCGGCATATCATCTATAGAATAATATTTTGGTGATTAATTCGTAAAAATATTCGGAAAGAAAGTTTCTACACTGTAGTTCTTGTTTTTGTCATTTTGAGAATGATCATTAGAATTCATGCTTTATTGCAGATCCTGTGAGAATAGAATGATGTGAAGTTGTTAAAAATTATTATATCATATGGACACGGCACATGCAAACACACACATACGCTCTTATGATCCAGCATATTATAATGAGATGGAGGTATGTTTGTTGAATAAGACAAAATGTGTTTCTACACTTAACTGAACTTTTATGTTCATTATGTTCAAATTGTTTTATTTCATTTCTAAATAACATTTTAGTACTAAATTATTCAACCTGAGGTTGCGCAATAACTTGGTTTTCGTCTTGTGTGTCACGCTGAACTTCCGTTTTTAATAGGTAGTCAACGCAGCGGCAGTCATTTTGAGCTCTGTTCCTTTCTCTTTTTAAAAAAAAAAAATCTATAAATTGTGAGAATGCCAGTAAATCACCTACTCGTATCACTTATTTTTCTACTTACCTTCAAAACAGGTAAAACACATGTTCATTATGTTGATGTTGATTGATTATTAATGATTATTGTGACAGTAATGACTGCGCAGGTTATGGCATCACTGAGCATTTACCGGCATATCATCTATAGAATAATATTTTGGTGATTAATTCGTAAAAATATTCGGAAAGAAAGTTTCTACACTGTAGTTCTTGTTTTTGTCATTTTGAGAATGATCATTATTAAGCTACTAGTAAAACAGATGTTTTGAATACAGATACACCACCATTCGTTTTACAGAGATTATGCCATTGCTAATATATACATACACACACACTTATTTAGCATATATATGATCACTACAAGCAGGATACATGATACATTTTTGGTAATTTTTAATCATAAATCATATAGTAGGTGTGAAGAGTTTTGTGTAAGTGTGTGATGGTTCAAGTCACAATATATTTGGCAGTTTGGTAGCAAAGTCTGTCACCAGTTGTGGGCGGGGCCAAACCCATTTATGGCATCACAAAAGGAAGCAGACATTAACAATTCATTTCGAGACACTGTTTCTGACTTAAAAAAGAGAAGTGGGTGGATTTTTACCATTATAGGGTGGTTGTGTACACACAATTATGTTCAAATAAATACAATGTAAAAAAAATTATAATTTTGCATAATAGATCCCCTTTAAAGTGACTGGAAAACATCATTACAATTTTATTAACAGAACTTCAACTGGCTGCTCTATATATTTCACCAAAATGAAAATGAGGAACAAAATCTTTTTTTCTTTTTTTGTCAGGAGCCATTTGACAACGAGACTAAGTCAACTGATTATATTTCCAAACATTACTTCTGTTATTAAGTGTAAAAATCCAGGGAGAGCTTTGTATGAATGAGGAGTCTGACAACAGACAGGTCCACACAGAAATCTGATCTCAGCATCACTGAGCCCCTCTGGGATTACATAAAGATGCAGAAAAAAACTGAGACAGACTAAATCCATAACAACAGTGGAGAAATCTACCTACAAATCTACCTCAAAAATTGAGCACAAGTGCACCCAGCACAGTTTTAAAAGCAAAGAGTAGATGTCTCTTCATGTAATCGCAAACAGAGTTGATGGTGAGATCAGATTTCTGTGTGGACCATCTTTTTTCAAAGTCCTTGTGCAAACAAAAATCTCACTGGAATATTAAAAATAAATAACAAAATTAAGGTTTGGAAAAGTAAACTGATATTTCCTACTGGCACAGTAAAGCAAACTGTTTGATGAAAAATTTAACATGCCTAAGACTTTTGCACAGTACTTTATTCTTTAAAAAATGCAAAATATAGTTTCATGAACATTAAGAAAAATTGATGGTTGATAAACAGCTTTTCAGCATGTTTTACATTGTTAAAATAGGTCAATCTGTTGAATATTTTCCCCTGCTGTCCTCACAGGAATGAATGGGTAACTAGTAATCAGAATTTGTTTTTCCAGACGGGTGGACAGGCCTCCTTGTCACAAGTATAGCCTACAAAAAAAAAAAAAAATAAATGAATAAAAAAAACCCGGTTACACTTTATTTTAGGGACTAGCATGCATATTACTACCATATGGCTGTTTATGAGTAATTATAAAGCACATTTTAATGCCTTATTCTGCAGTTTATAGAGGCAAATGTCATAGTTAATAGTTCATAGTGAGAATTGGACCTAAAATAAAGTGTGACCAAAAAAATCCTTTCATTTTATATGATACCAAATGGCCTCCACCACCACTAACCCTATCCTCACTAAAATGGTAAACTGCACTCTATAATAAATGCCTAACCACTTCCCACCACTAAAACTATTCTCCCCAGTCTGAGACTGCTGGACTTACGCTGCTGGTAATTGTTATGATCTGCAGTCTGTGTGCAAAAGGGACTTTACGGTCTGTAGCAGACATGGGTAGTTAAACTTTCATTATGACACCAAATTCACTAAGGCGCATACGTGTTAAAAACATCCAGCATGCAGGTATCACCAAAATTCCCTGCGTAGTGGATCCGATCTATTTCAAACTAAATTTTATTTTCTCTCCCTGCAGTGTCCTTTGCTGAAATCCAGCCCCAGAATCGGTCTGTGCGTGCAGGGGACCGTTTTGAGTTTGTTCAGAGAGAAGAGCTTCCACAGTTTTTACAGTTAATCTGGATGAAAACACCTTTTTCCAGAAATCACTCAGAAACCATTGTGACATACTACAATAAGACTAAAGCCACTGACCCTGCCAGTTCGTACAAGGACAGAGTGGTGTTCAATACTACAAATTTCTCTCTAACACTGATGGGAATGCAGAAGACAGACAGCGGACTTTACTGCACAACAACAATTGGAAAAAAAACCAAAACTGTTTGTCAGTATAATGTATCTGTTGTTGGTAAGTGTAGAATTTAGGACCTTAAAATCAACACTAGCCAAAGCAGTGTTGCACATGCACCAACCTTTTTCTTGTTGCTGGTATCCGTAGCGATAGCAACCCAGTTAAACGGCGGGATTCAATTTTGTGAGCATTACATTGAATAATTCTGTATATGTGTTAATCCATGTTTCACTTGACAATAGCATATCATTCTCCTGTTGTGAATCATTTATAAGACATCTCTCAGCTTCACTGTTAAAATGTCAAATCTTATTTTCTATCTCCAGACTTTAATGTTACATATTTCTTTTCTTTGTTCTTTCTTTCTTTTTTTTTGCAGATAACCACGGATCACCCACTACCATTTTTCTTCCTTGGATATTACTTACCTCTACACTGACTACAATAATGTTCTAAATTGTAATATGTTAATATCATAAATTAATATCATAATTGTAAAGATTTAAAAAAAAGTTTAAGAATTACCAATAGCAATTATTTAAAAAAGAAATGCCATGACAGTGAGATTAGTATGATCAAACAAGGATAATGAATAACAAAACAATACAACAAAACATTCTTGTATCTTATTTTGTCAACACGTGCTCATTACAGTGTCAATTGCATATTTGTTGATGTTGATTTACCAAGTCTGTTCACATTCCATAGACATATGTCTACCAAAATTTGTAATATACAAAATGAACAGTAGGCTATATTTAAAAAAAAAAGTTTCAAGATTCCAAGAGCATATGAAGGAGGAGACAATGTAATGCACCAGTACAACACTTAATTTATATTTGCACCTAACTCTCTAGCCCCATCTGAAAGATTATGTCCTCTACACATTAAAAAAATAAATTTGGATTTTCCAGCTGATACCAATTCATAAATATGTATATATCTGCCACAACACACTTTTTGGCGGGGGTTTTCTCTACAGTAGGTGTTGATATGCAATGAGTTGTCATACCAGTGTGGAATCTTTTAAAGTTCCAATTGCGCGATAGTGATGTGAAGTAGACTTAACAGGGCATTCCAATATGCAGTGAGTGCGTTCAGTCCACTTTCCCACCTATTTAAATTAAACTGTCTAGTGAATAAGTGAGGAAGTATACGGAGGGAAAGTTCAAAGAAGCATGGGAGAAGTTTATCTAAAATAAATGCAGTGAACATAAACTTTAATGCTTTTTTTTTAGTTTAATTAGTCTCAAGTGTGGTTTGTATGCCTTGTTTGCGGTAATAAAGCACACATGCATCAGTTACTGTACATTGCAGCTACACTCAAATGAATTTATTACCCTTACTTAATTTAATGGAGGTTTTTACACACAATTTAATTTAGTTCATTCTAAATAAATCTGTTTAGTTGGGTCAACACAATTTAGTTGGATTAGGTCAAATTAATTTATTCTAGTACGTTCAACTTAACTTTATTACGTTTCTCGAAATAAATTTTCTTATGTGGGACCATTTTAAAAAAAATCAACTTACTGAAGTTTAATTAATTCTCTTATGTTTATCAAGCAGTTGTGTTCATTATTATATACAATGTATATAAAAGCTACATTTTGAGTGTCTACAGCCTAAGCGCAGGCAACAGTCTTCTGCATAATGGTAACCACAAAATTAAAAAACATTACAACACTCAGTCCCTTGCAAAGCATGATGGGAATTACAGATCTACTGCCCGGTTAGTTATATCCGCAAAAATGATTCATGTAGTTTTAACACAAATTAATTAAGTAAACTTTAATTTTAAATATATTAAGTAGTGTTAACTGAAATAAAATTAAGTTACAATATGTACAAAAATTGTGTTACTTTAGCTCATTTTAATTATTAAACTGAACAAAAGGCAAAAAAAAGGCATTTATCACTCAATTCTGAACTTTCAAATATGAAATATTATTCATTTAAATTTACAATAAATATTTCTGATCATTTAAAGGTAATGTTCATATTTTTGTAACAAGCAGAGTTAGACGAAGATAAGACCTTGGACCTGTATTTGAAGAAACTTAAAAGTGAACTTAGATATGAACAGCCACACTTGCTCTCACAACTAGGGGCTAGTTTCCTGTGGTAGACAATGTGGTTGCAGAAAGCAGCTAGCTCCTCCTCTCTCTTTTCTAAGCTGCTTTTTGACTTGGTTGGTATAGCAGTTCTGGTAGTTATTCAGTTAATGGTAACAGAACTGGTTTTCAAGCATAGACTAGAGTTTTAAATGTGCTCAAATTAATAGAAAAGACAGTATTCATATATTTACATATTGTATGTCATATATTCCAAGGTGAGTGACACTGCGTGGACAGTTTTAATAAGGTGATATAAAACACAAAGTTTTCTCTAATATGCACCGTATAACCACAGCAGAACAGGCCGTTTATTGCAATGGCTTTTGGTCATCTGCTCATGATCTTCATCGCAGTGCTGATCTCCAACACAGGTATGAAAATCATTCTCTTCACAGGCTACTGCACATGACTACTGCATAACTAGATACAGTAGAGATAGTAATTAATGACTTTCACCATTTGTATTAATGTCACCATTGATATGCGTGTCTGCTAATCATTGCTGTGCATTGAAATGGGAGGTTACACATGACTTTTAAACATATCCCAGGATTATTTATTTGAAATATAAATTACTGTTTAAATACTGTTGAAATATTAATATTATAGGAACAATTATTTGTAACACTTATCACATGGGTTTTTATTATTTATTTCATGCATTGATGATTCAGGATTCTTTTTAAGAACTAAAAAGAGAACATAGAACATAGAAATTGTTCTACAGCACTACACTCACTTACTTTCCCCTACTATTATAGCAAACAGCTAGATAAAAACCTTGCTATAAAAGTCGGTGAGCACAAAATTAAATTTTTTTAAATTAAATTTGGTTTGTTTTCATCATATCGAATCATTTTTGCAACAAAAAGATGGAATTTTTATGCCAATATTACACTTTTGTGTACCATATTTGTTGAACAATTGGACATTTACCTTAATCTTTTCCATTATCCTCTCTGTTTCTAGCATCCGTGTGCAAAGCTGAAAATGCCGTCTCTGTGCAGACAGGAAGTTCTGTTCAACTGGACATACAGACTGATAAACTACTACCTTTTGATACACTGGTCTGGATGAATCATGAATCAGAAAATATTGTGACATTCAGTAAGAAAACTGTAGAGACAGAGATTAACAACGACAGTGTGGTTTTCAATCAGTCAACCTTCTCTCTAACACTGAAGAGCACGAAAAAGACAGACAGTGGACTCTACACAGCAAAAATATTTGGATCGAATAATATAAATGTTGCTAAATACAGAGTATCTGTTATAGGTGAGTCTGAGTTGCATGTTAAACCACATTAAAAACCAATATCAAGAATAAAGGGTACGTGCTTAAATTAATTTAGAATCTTGCAGAGTTTCAATGTTTTCTGTAGAAAATACAAATTTTTACCTTTTGGCCAAAGCAAGTTGTTCAGTTTCACCTTTGAATTTGCTACACAAAAAAGTTTGTAAAAAAAAAAAAAAAAACTTTCTAGGGTCTGTCATATATGATGCATTCTCATGCAGCAGTTTTCATAAATATGTTTCAGATCCAGTGGATTCTCCTGTTCTTAACTGGAACGTCACCATGATCGCTGTTAACTCCTGTATTGTAAATGTCTCATGTAGTGGGCATGATCGTACAATCAGAGAAACCTACCAAAGCAACAACTGCAGCCAGAAGGAAAATATATCATCTGAAATACAGACTCTAACCCTGTATTGTAAAGAGGACATAGTTATTTGTAACTATAGCAACCCAGTCAGCTGGAAGAATGACACAATACAGATTAAACACCTCTGTACACCTTATCAAAGTAAATAAGTGACCCACAAACCCAATGCAAAACATATAAATGCATTTTAAATGCATTTTCTAGTCATGCATTTTTTATTTATTAGCCATTTATCCTCACTACCTCTGGAGTGTTCTAATGACTGTAGTTGTTAATCTAATGTTTTTTGTTTCAGATGAGAATCAACAGACAACAGGAGACAACAACAGTTATTTTCCTCTCCATTGGCTCATAGTCATTGTTATAAGTGCTTCATTGTTGATTTTAGTTGCAACTGCTGTAACATACTGCTCATGCAAGAATAATAACAAAGGTATGTTTATCTTTTATCTCAAATATTTTACAAAATTATCAAGAGCTTATATCCTCAGAACAACAGCTTTATGGGATTCAAAATGGTTGTGATATGAGGCACCAGTTACAATTTTACTTGCGCTTACATGAATCTCTGAATACACAAAGGTGAAGCAGTCACATACTGAATGCACAAACAAATACATATGAAAAGCTTATACACACCAGCGTCAGATCTAGAACTTTACATCTACACAACACTTACATAATGTTTGACTATTTCACATTTGTGTATGGAGATTTATGTAAATCTTATATGGTGCCTCATAGTGGAGAAACCAAGGATCTATGGTGATAGTAACTGACAGGAGATTCTTTATAATAATACTATTCTAAATCTCTTAGGTGCCCAGCAGAATGATCATACAATCTATGCACAAGTTCAGGTAAGCTTCAAAATACTACTTCACCATGACATCATAATTCTTATTTGTTAATGGAATATTGCCGTGTTTATTATATATGATTTATCCATGCACATTATTCATTTGTTCAAATGTACCTGTCCTCATAACATGTAATCAAATTAATTTCCCCTCTCCTTGCATCAGCATCGCTGCGCTGATGACGTGTGCACTGGTGTGAAGGCGGAGCAATAACCGCTCCCCTCCAGCAGCCCGTCACTCACATGTGATTGCAGCAATAGCAAACAACAGCAATCCAATTAATTCCTGATGGACAACACCAAGTCCCGCTCTATATTATTTTCTCATTTGACAAGCCATTTCACACAGATATACATCACAACATAGATGACAAGATAACTGCAACTTCCGTTTATGCCGATTTTAATATTTTTTGTTGTGCAGCCATGACAGATTATAATTGCTCTTAATTCAAGAATCCTCATGAGTCATGTGATGGACATTTGGGAGGTTGTGTGGCCAGTAGCTCAGGGGTGGTTTGAGCCCTAGAAAGAACGTGACATGAGTCATCATCGTCATAATTTTACATGTAATAAGTTTATTGGAAAACAATTCTGATAAAATCATCCACCAAATATCTACTTAATTTTACACCAGAGGAGCCCAAACTTTTCAGTATAAAGGGCCAAAAAATCTAACTTGATTGAAGGCTGAGGGCCGAAAGTAAATTTTGCATTATATCCAAATATATTAAGATTTTATATTATGAAAGATCAAATTCATTTCCAGTATATTCTCTAAATTTTAATGCAAAAATAGAACAAAAAGTCTTAAAACACAAAGATAAATTAGAAATGAAGATTTCCAATGGCATGTTTTTCCCACTATTATTATGGCATGATATGGCATGGCAGGGCAAATCAGAGGTCATCGTGGGCCAACTTTGGCCTGTAGACCCTGGTTTGGGCATCTCTGTTTTTTTCTTTGTTGGCAGTTTAATGCAATCATACACTTTGTGTAATTAATCAGAGCAATGACTGTTTCAGAACATACACTATATGGCCAAATGTAGCCTATATGGATAGCCAACACTACACATGTAAAGGAATGCATACACTATACTATTAAAGAACACTGCTCTATATGTTGGAACATGACTGTATGGATCATATGCACAACAGCATCAGTCAGCTTTTCAGTTCAGTTCAGGTCTGGCCATCAAGTTTTTCCAGCCCAAACACAGTAAACCATTTCTATGTAGGCCTTGCTTTGTGTACAAGGCCACTATCATGCTGAATTTGAAAAGGGCCACAAATGTTGCTCACAATTCCCTTGACTTGAGTAACATTGGAAGCCTTCTTATTAAAAACTTGTCTTCATTGGAAGAAGCAGCAGTGGGTGTCCAAACACTGTTAACCATGTACATTTAAATGTGCATGTAAATATTAAGTGGTATACAAGGATCTGTATGACTGTTTGATTGGATTGTTCTACAGCCAAAGAGCAAAGTACAAAGACCCCTGGAGATGTTGGAGAAATCAGAGAATCCTCAAACTGTGTGTGGATTTACACAAGAACACAGACACCCTCACAATACCAGTCAGACAATGTCCAATTCTGAGGTAAGAAAGAGACAAAAACATCCACCGGGCAGAATTTTCTAGGTTAAAAATAGTAACAGGTTAACTGTATAAATATCTTGAGTCTGAATACATTTCCTAATTTGACTTCAAGGATTTTCTGGTTTTGTTTATTGCATTGTTAATATGGTTTAATAATTCACAGATACCAGCGGAGATGCAAAAAAACAACCACCCCAGCACCACCTACAGTACAATTGGACAACACCAAACAACATCGCTTGACACTGAAACGGACCATACAGTTTATTCAATAGTGTGTAAATCCTCAAATGGCAGACCGCCTGTGAATTAATACAGTAGGTTAATGTAAAATTTGGCTGAGTAGGTACTGTGTTTGTCAGTATATATCTTAAATATTTCAATAGGACATTATTGTACATTTGTCACACATCATGTACAAGCATACAAAGTCAGTGTAAATTAGTGTTCATTTGGGTAGACTCAAAAGCTGTTACTGGGGTGGTACCCTTAAGGTCTAATATGCAGACTTATTAGTATTAGTATTAAATTAGTATTAAAAGGTATTCGTTTTTAATTGTTTTTATTTGAACTGGTGCAATTTTTTACACAAGCAAGAGGAAATTTCAAAACTTTTAGTACTAATTTCAAAAATAGGATTAGTTCACTTCCAGAATAAAAATGTATTGATAATTTACTTACCCCCATGTCATCCAAGATGTTCATGTCTTTCTGCCTTCAGTCGCAAAGAAATTATGGTTTTTGAGGAAAACATTCCAGGATTTTTCTCCATATAATGGACTTCAATGGGAACCAATGGGCTGTAAAAAAAGGTAAAACAACGATGTTAGTCGATTTTGAAGTTGGAGGAGAAAATGCGATGGAGTTTTTAACCCCTACTTTACCTTTCTGAACTGGAGTACACAGACGAAGAGCTAACCGCACTTGACCTTTCCAACGGGATTACCTAATGCGTGAAGACGCGCATGCGCAAGCAGAGCTAGAGCAAGATGAGCATTTGTGGTTAAAAAGTATATAAATGTTTACTGTTTTAAGAAAATGACAGATCGTTTCGATAATCTTGATAATTTACTCACCCCCATGTCATCCGAGATGTTCATGTCTTTCTGTCTTCAGTCGCAAAGAAATTATGGTTTTTGAGGAAAACATTCCAGGATTTTTCTCCATATAATGGACTTCAATGGGAACCAACGGGCTGAAGGTCCAAATTGCAGTTTCAGTGCAGCTTCAAAGGGCTCTACACGATCCCAGCCGAGAAATAAGGGTCTTATCTAGCAAAACGGTTGGTGATTTTCTAAAAAAAATAAACAAACATTTATATACTTTTTAACCACAAATGCTAGTCGTGCACTAGCTCGACTTCACGCATTACGTAGTCACGTTGGAAAGGTCACGCGTGACGTAGGCGGAAGCACCGACCCAGCGTTTACAAAGTGAATGTGCAAAGAAAGTCAAACGCCCTTTACAAAAAAAAGGTAAAACAACGATGTTAGTCGATTTTGAAGTTGGAGGAGAAAATGAGATGGAGTTTTAACCCCTACTCTACCTTTCTGAACTGGAGTACACAGATGAAGAGCTAACCACACTTGACCTTTCCAACGGGATTACCTAATGCGTGGAGCAATGCACAAGCAGAGCTAAAGCAAGATGAGCATTTGTGGTTAAAAAGTATATAAATGTTTATTGTTTTAAGAAAATGACCGGTTGTTTCGCTAGATAAGTCCCTTATTCCTCGGCTGGGATCGTGTAGAGCCCTTTGAAGCTGCACTGAAACTGCAATTTGGACCTTCAACCGTTTGGTAACTGTTGAAGTCCACTATATGGACAAAAATCCTGGGATGTTTTCCTCAAAAACCTTAATTTCTTTTCGACTGAAGAAAGAAAGACATGAACATCTTGGATGACATGGGGGTGAGTAATTATCAGGAAATTTGATTTGAAAGTGAACTAATCCTTTAATGTGTGAATCATTGGTACATCTATAGATTTGCTATATAAGAGTGCTCTGGGGCTGGGCTCGCAGAGCGGCTTCGTTCTGCATGGCGCTATTGGATGTGTTCCCCATAAGGTTGTCAAGGCGATGGGAGAGACCGTTCGAAAGGGAACACTCCGGTTACTAACATAACCTCGGTTCCCTGAGATAAGGGAACGACTTTTGCATATGCTGCCGTGTTATAAGTATAAGGCTGCACGTGAATCGATGACTATCACATCAGTCGAAATAGAGGTATAGAGGTTGGCCCCTCCCCTTTTGGCAGGCTGAAGTGCCAAAAGGTTTGTACAGCTACACAAACGTGAACAAATCAGACTCCAGTATCAGAGTAAACCGATGTTACGTTAGTAACCAGAGCGATTTTATGTCAGTTATGTAAGTTAGATAATGTAAGTGTGTTTTCGAATGTGACAACTGTAGCCTATATTACTCTAACATATTTAATTCACCAACCAGGGTGATTTGAAACATGTATTTTGCATTGTTTGCTACTGAATGAACTGACTGTAAAATGAAAGAAGATCATACTCTTGTTTCGGTGATTAAACCACATTTTGCCATTACATATAACAATAATCTTTCATGCGATTTAAATAATGGTCATGTGGAATGAAAACATATATATAACTAATGAAAGCATGAGATCAGGTTTCGAAAGATTGACTAGCAGTTTTCACACTAGTCACACTAGCAGTGACTAAGGCCCAATCCCAATTCTACCCCTTAGCCCTTCCCCTTTCCTCTTTTTTGTTCGCTCAGGCAGCCATGTTGCCGCTGAAAAAAGAGAATCGAGACACCCCTACCCCTCCGTATGTTACATTCAATCGTGAGTTCATATTTACGGTCATGTTACTCAAAGAAATGTTTGCAAAAAATCGCTAAAGTTCGCTAACGTCATATCATTACTGACTGCACGATAGTGCCACATATTTTCATGTCTGATCAGGGCGATAACCACCATAGACATTCAGGAAGGCTAGTACCCCCAATAATTATAAATCGCTAAACCCTTTTCTCAAATATTGCCAATTCGAGAGAGAGAGACAGAGAGAGATGAAAGTTGCGTGTATGCTCGTCTGTGCGTTTCTCTTTTTAGAGTGAGTTTACTTCAAAAACGTGTGTGTGTGTGTGTGTCAGTAAGCAGCGCAGTAATATAGAACGGTAATTAAAGGCTCTAATGCACACACCAGCAAACCACTATAGGAGCTAGACGATGTATGATGACGTGTGACGTATAGTAGTGGTGAATATTTTCACCCCTACCCCTTGACACTCTGTTTCAAGGGACAAGGGGAAGGGGTAGGCGGAGGGGAAGGGGTATAAAATAGAATTGGGATTGGGCAAGTGTGATCAGTTCGGATTTTTGCACTAAGAGTTTTGAAAATGTACAACTTTCATGTAAAAATAGTACCAAAGCGAATGAAAAAAAAAGTATGGTGACTTAAAAGTAGTAATATGCACTTTTAGGGGTATATAAGGCACTACAATGGTGTACTTTCCGAAAGGGTACCGCTGAAGTGACAGCTTTATACCTTTTTTTCTGAGTGTGTATTAGAGCTGCACAATTAATTGAATTTCTAATCGCGATTACAATTACAGATGCCACAATTACATAGTCGTTCAAAGTCTACTTATGTTATTCTGAGTGCTTGTGATTTTTTTTCTTTCTACAGCAACATATTCTGTTACACCAAATACACAAAATAATGATCTTTAAAAAAGCATCATATGACCCCTTTAAGGGTTTTTTCCCCCATTGTTTTAATATAATTTTAACTTTTTATTTAAAAAGTACATTTGAGGCTTAATACTATAGTATTAAGTTTTTCAGTTTGAGTGTTTTCAGCTTGTATATTTTCATATAAATATATGGCACGCATTTGCTTCAAACAATGGTGACATCATTCAATGTAAATTGTGATAATCGTAATTAATTAATAATTGCAATTACAATGGAATAATTGACAATTATGATTTTTGTCATAATCGTGCAGCCCTAGTGTGTATAGTAGATTTTTCATTGGTAGTGATGGAAGGGGTCAAACAGGACCTTGTTGAATGCTGAGTTCTGTACTTCATTTGTATTTGTTATCATGTGTATAGGTTTTAATTTTGTCGATCATGCTTTGCACATTCCTTCTGGAATCTGGAATAGCCATGAGTGTTGTGAAAGTTAGGTGCACCATTAAATGGTTTCCTCTGACTTTAGCCACTTGTTTGCATTGAAACAGCTCATAATATACATTTTATTGAGGTATCACGAAAATTAGGTATCACGTTGCTTGCTATAACATATATAAAAATTACTTATAAAACACAACAGAATTGGCATAGCTCTGAATCCAAACAGCTGATAGAAAAAAAACACATGACTTGATTACTGAAATATTATCAGGAATAAATAACTAAAATGAAAACTAGCACTGACTATTTACTTGTTTACCCATTTTAAAATTCTTGTCAATTCCCAAACACGTTCCTAAATGGTAATCATTCATTCAAACACACCTGATTTTAGGTCTTTAGCTCATTAGTAGAGACATAGATATGCATAGGTAGATGCCCTATTGCTGTTTCTATGGGCCGATATATGTAAGCCGTCCACCATATTGGAATAGTCAAAGTATGGATGTACTGATTCGATACTGTGTGTATACTATTTTGTGTTATTGTTAAGCCCCACAAAAGGCACAAAAACATTATAAAGCACCATAAAATTTCATGCACTATATTCCAAGTCTTCTGAAGCCCTTCCATAGGTTAATGTGAGGTACAGATGAATATTTAAAGGCAGGGTAGGTGATTTGGTTCAAAAACATTTTGTCTAACTAAGATAACCGCTCCACCTAGTGGAAATACTGAGTATAATTTTCTGAAATAAAGTTCATTGTTGCATATTTTTCATTTATGTTCTGGTTGTTGTGACCTTTACAGATTAGAATTTCAAAATAATCTGCACTATCATGTAACAGAAACAATAAAGTGGCTACAAATTATTTTAGTTTTAGCATATTTACAGAGTTTACAATGCATTTTTTCAATCTCAAGTATATTTGCAATTTTAATGATTATTAATGTTACTTGGGAATGGATAAAGATATTTTTTTTTATAAAAGTGTCAGATATAGAAAGTCTGCTCACTCATCATGGACATTTATAAGGCATTAATTGACGAGGACAGGCTTCACCTTAGCAACAACATGCTCTTTGAAAACTCCATTAACATTACAGTTTTTTCAATAGCTAGGACACACTTCAATATTTAAGTAAATTTTTCAAAACTTTTTATAGTATTCTACTAACCAACTTTCAATATTTTC